CCGAGGGCAAGAGGCCGGCGGCTGGGCGGGTCCCGAGCCGTCGGGCCCGCGATGCCCCTCGCCAGCCGGAAAGCCTCCCCCGCGGCTGGTGCCCCGGAGCCCTCGGCGGCCCCGGGCTAGCGGGGGCCCGGAGGCCGGACTGCGGGCGCCGGGCCTACTCACCGGGAGCGGACGAAGCGCGGCGGCCGACGCGGCCCCGGGCCTGAGGGGCAGGACGCGGCACCGCGCGCGGCCCTGCCCGGGCCCTGGTCGGCGCGGCGAGCCGGGCGCTCACTCCAGTCGCCTCCGCCGCCGCTGCTGCTGCTTCGCCACCTCGGCCGCCATTTTGACTCAACCCCTCTCCTCCGCCCCCCCCACCCCCCGGCCCGGCGGCCGCGGCTGAGGCTGCTCCGGCTCCTCCTCCTTCCGGAGGCTGGGAGGCCGACTCCCTCCGCTGGCCGAGCTTCCCGGCCCCCTGGCGTACCCCCTTGGCCCGGCGGCGGACCCAGGGTGCTGCCGTCGCGCTCGGGACTCCCCGCGGGCGTGGGAAAGGGAAGGACGCGAGGCCGCGCCCCGGGCCTGAGAGCCCGGGCTGAGGACGGGAGGGAAGCGGGAGCCCGGGGGGCGCGCGGCCACCCGCGCAGCTGCTTCCCGGGCTCAGGCTGCGTTCGCGGCGGGCCTGCCTGAAAGGCCGCGCGAGGCCGACCCGCCCGTGATGCCGGCCCTCCCTCCGGCCCCTCCGAGGAGCCCGAGCCCCCGCGCCCGCCAAGTGCGCTCTCGGCCTCACGCTCCCAGGGAACTGACCGGACGGGCCTCGCCACCGCATACTTTTCCTTCAGAGAAGGCGCCACTCCACATCCCGGAATTAGGGAGGAGAAACAAAGTCGGTGTTCCCCCGGATAATTACGAGAAAGTCCGGGTTTTAAGAAATGAGTGATAAAATGGTGACGTAAAGACAGGAGGAACTCGCACTGAAGATGCTGGGGGTTCTTTTCAGACGCTTCCCCTTAAGTACTGTGTGGACGGCAAGGGGGTTGGCTCAGCCCTGAAACGGAGCGGGCACGAGAGCTCGTAAAGGCCGCGTAAAGTAGCGGCAGCCCGTGAAGAGGGGCTGGGAGGCGTCCGTGTCAGAGCACACAGCCCGACGCTTAAAGCCTCCGGCCGTTGGAGCAGGGCAACCGGACGGATTTCCACTAGGAACGCGGTTTCCGCGAGCGCCGGTCTCCCGCCGGAGCCGGCCCGGCGGCCGCCTCCCCTCCTGCGCAGGCGCAGTGCCTCCTCAGGGCATGGAGGTGGTGGGTCTGCTGATGTGTGTGGCGGCGGCGGTCCTGACATGGGGCTTCCTCTGGGTTTGGGACTCCTGGGAGCGAATGAAGAGTCCGGAGCAGGCTGGCCTGCCGGGAGGCGGAAGCCGGACTCTGTTGGTGACCGCGCACCCCGACGATGAAGCCATGTTCTTTGCTCCCACCGTTCTAGGCTTGGTCCGCCTGCGGCACCAGGTGTCCCTGCTCTGCTTCTCCGCAGGTAGGAAGCTGTAGGCGGGGCGCGGGGAGCCGGGGCTGGGAAAGCATTTAGGCGCCAACCTGTCTCAGTCGACTTCTTCCCGGAGGGGTCTCTGTCGTAGGGAGCCAGGTGAATACACTGGAGGTCCTTTATCCGGGCGCTTCACCGAGAATCTGTGGCCCCAGCCTGAGGGCTGTAGGGCCGGCTTCACAGGTGCGTTGGGAGGCGTGGGCAGCGTGCGAGCTCCGCTCTCCGCTAGCAGGATCCTGGAGCTCACATTTGCTTCCATTCAGTACCTACATCCGCGTTGGGAACTGCGACTGTAATCAGTATCCTGTGGAACATTTTCATTTCCAGGAGGGCCAAGAATAACGACCATACAGAATGTGGGCTGTGTCATTCCTGATCAACCCTTCAGTCCACTTTGTGCTAGAAAGATGCATGTATCAAATTGAAGAGAGAGTTCATTAGACTAGAAAATAATCTTATAGGTCATTTGAGAGTTCAACTCCACCCAGCTTTCACTGGGGCCTTGCAAAGAATTAAGTCCTTCTGTACCATACAGAAAAGATGGAATGAGAAAACAAATTGACCATGATACTGGGTTATGGTGGTAATTGCACAGCTGTATAAATGAAATAATTGAAGTGTACATATATAATGGGTGAATTTTATGGTGTGTAAAAATCATACCTCAGTAAAGCTGTTTTTAACAAATGCCCAGTGACCTCTTTTCCCATTTGGTTGTTTCGTACCAGTTCTTTTTCTATACAGATTTTTCTCAATGAGCACATTTTATAAGACTTTATATTTTTCACCGAATATTACCTTTTCATTAATTTCTCAAATATTTATTAAAGACTTTTGTGCACTACTCACTATTAAAATGGCCAAAATCCGGAACACTGACAACACCAAATACTGGTGAGGATGTGGCACCAAGGTACTCTCATTCATTGTTGGTGGGAACGCAAAATGGTTCAGCCACTTTGTAAGGCAGTTAGTTTGGTAGTCTCTTACAAACCTAAACATACTCTTACCAAACCATCCAGCAGTAGCCCTCCTTGGTATTTACCCAGAGGAACTGAAAACATGTTCACACAAAAACCTGCACACAGATACTTACAGAAGCTTTATTCATAATTGACAAAACTTGGAAGCAACCAAGATGTCCTTCAGTAGGTGAGTGGATAAATAAACTGTGGTCCATCCAGACAATGGAATATTAGAGGCAAAAAGAAATGAGCTATCAAGCCATGAAAAGGAAGAATTTTAAATGCGTATTACTAAGTGATAGAAGCCAATCTGAAAAGGCTTTGTACTGTGTGATTCCAACTATGTGACAATCTGGAGAAGGCAAAACTATAGAGACAGTAAAAAGATCAGTGGGGATCAGGGGTTGGGATGAGAGGAAGGATGTATAGACAGAGCAGAGAGGATTCTTAGGGCAGTGAAAATACTCTGTATGGTATAATATAATGATGGATGCATGTCATTATACAGTTGTCCAAACCCATAGAATGTACAAGACCAGGAGTGAACCCTAATGTAAACCATGGACTTGGGGTGATTATGATGTGTCAGTGTAGGTTCATCGATTGTAACAAGTGTACCATCTGGTGGGAGATGCTGATAATGGGGGAGGCTGTACCTGTGTGAGGGCAGGGAGTATATGGAAACTCTCTGTACCTTACCCTCAATTTTGCTGTGAACCTAAAACTGCTCTTTAAAAAAAAAGTCTTCATAAAAAAACGTTTTTAATTAAAAAAAAGTCTATCTGCCAGGACTTATTCTCTGCCCTAGGAATAAAACTGAAAACAAGCTAGGTGAGGACCATGTCCTTCTGAAACTTATATTTTAAATATTTACCTATGTTTATAAGAACTAGATATATAGCCTTTTAAATGATTTCATACAGATAAACCCTAATTTAGTTAGTCATCCCTTATTATACATATATTTAGGGTTCCCCCCCCAGGTTATCTCTATTACAAATAATCTCTTTATGTATAATATTTCTTGATTTGACTAACATTTTTTTCCCTTCAAAATCTTTTGTTGCCAGTAAGATTAAACCATTTTTCATAAATATTGAGAATTTCAGTCTAAGCACTTTTCTTCTCAGTTTGTGCTATTAAGGATATTAACTGCAAATATATGCAAGTAATGGCCTCATTTTTTGTTTGCTTTTAATTTTATTTATGTTTCATATTACAACTATGGGAATCAAATTATAAGCAAAATTTGTTACAAGATGCCTGGATTTTATTTACAAAGTATTATAGGTACACAGGTTTCTTTAATAAATTTCTCTTTATTTTTTAGTAGGTTGGGGCCAGAAATCAAAATTTTTTTAAGTAAAAAATATAAGACCACGCCCTTGACACATACTAAAACTCAGTATCTTCATTGTTGTCCTTCATTATTTCCTCTGAATCCAACTTTCTGTTTAAATTGTTTTCTCTTGTAATTTTTTAAATTACTTTTAAAATACCCAACTCATTTAAAAAATGTACGGACTAAACATTACCCACCTTCCTGATTTATTCTAACCTGAAAAATAGGAAGTTAATAACGTGATATAACATAATGAAAGCTGTAATTGACAGAGAAAAGACTGTGGACTCAAAATGGGGAAAAGCATCAATTGGATTAAGGAAACTTCTCCAAAGAGCTTTTCTTTTGAGCTGGTCTTTAAAAATAGGACTTAAGTATACAGGAAATGGGGCAAGCCATTCAGGGCAATAGTGAAAGCATAAGTAAGTCTTGGACTCATTTGAATAACTCATTCTAACTACATCTCCAGTTTTAAGGGGTAGGGAGAAGCAGGAAAAAATGTATTTTGTTATTAGTTGCTCATTTAATCCTCTCAGCAGTCCTATGATAGGCATTACACGTATATATAAGTTGTTTTTCACATTTTTTAACTGTGGAAACTGAACCACGAAGTTAGGTAACTTGACCAAAGTGAAGAGCTAGAACACAGAGGAGCCAGGACCCAGTGGCTCTTTCCTGTTCTAAACCATTGCACCCACACACATTGCCTTGCTGCTGTATCAGTTAAGGAAGTAACCATTTTGATTCCCAGTGTATGTTCCACAAAATACCAGTTCCTCAAGCTGCTATTAAAAAAAAAAAATGTTAATACCTTGACCTGACAAGTTTAGGGAAATTAACCGGATGTGCTATCCCCCCCTTTAGAGGTGCACGGTCCTTATTAGACTATCAACATCTTGGAGAAGTCTTGCTATAAAAAATTCCTATTTAATTTTGTTCAGTCCAGCATTTCTCCGATTTATGTAACCATTGAAGTACCTATTAATATACACATGAGAGGAAGCCACAGTAGGTAGTAGGGTGTTGTAGAATGCACGTGCTGGAGAATTAACACAGCCAGTTCTGTGTTTTAGCAAGCTCATACTGGTGGCATATGGAGAACCGTTTGGAGGGAAAGACTGGAGTTCAGCCCATTCTTTCCCCTCCTGACTGCACTGCCACCTCTCATACGTCAGAGCTCCGTGTATTTCTGATCTGTATACTGTCCCTTCAGTCAGTTTAACATCCCCGTGCCAATATCATGCTGTAGCTTTTACAACAATTAACTGCTATAGCTTTTACAACACTGTATCTGGTAGGGCCAGCCCTCTGATCTGTTGTTCCTCAGGGTATGTTTGCCATTTTTGACCTTCTTCCAAACATTTTATTTTTTTTTATAAATTTATTTTTATTTATTTATTTTTGGCTGCACTGGGTCTTCATTTGCTGTGTGCGGGCTTTCTCTAATTGCGGTACATGGGCTTCTCGTTCTGGTGGCTTCTCTTGTTGCGGAGCACGGGCTCTAGGCACTCGGGCTTCAGTAGTTGTGGCACGCAGCCTCAGTAGTTGTGGTGCATGGGCTTAGTTTCTCTGCAGTATGTACGATCTTCCCCGACTAGGGATCAAACCTGTGTCCCCTACATTGGCAGGAGAATTCTTTTTTTTTTTTTTTTTTGGTACGTGGGCCTCTCACTGTTGTGGCCTCTCCCGTTGCGGAGCACAGGCTCCGGACGCACGGGCGGAAAATTTTTTTTTTTTTTTTTTTGCGGTACGTGGGCCTCTCACTGTTGTGGCCTCTCCCGTTGCGGAGCACAGGCTCCGGACGCACGGGCCCAGCAGCCATGGCTCACGGGCCCAGCTGCTCCACGGCATGTGGGATCCTCCCGGACCGGGGCACGAACCCGTGTCCTTTGCATCGGCAGGTGGACTCTCAACTACTGCGCCACCAGGGAAGCCCGGCAGGAGAATTCTTAACCACTGTGCCATCAGGGAAGTCCCCAAATACATTTTAGAACTAGTTTGGGCATGCTCAAGGAAAAACCTTGCTGGCATTTTTATTGGAATTTCACTGACTCTATTGATCAATATTGGGAAAAATCGACAAGTTTACAATATGAAGTCTTTCTGTCTATGATTTTATGGTACGTCTCCTCATATACTGGCCTTTTTTAAAGTCCTTTAGTAGATTTATAATAAAGGCCTTACATGTATATTGAGATGATTAGTAATTTTGTCCATTCGTCTGTTTCTCATATTTCAGAGCTTCTTTTGCAAATATTACAGTCTCTTGTTACTTCCTCATAGTTTGACGTTTTTATTTCTTTAAATATATTAAACACATATCTACTTCTAATAATTCCAATTTCTGCAGTCTTTGTGTCTGGCTCTGCTCTTTGAGTAACTCATTCTGAGTGACTTGTTTCCCTGTGTGTTTTGTGATTTTTTTTTTTTTTATTGTAAGCACGTTTCATGGAACCATACTTGTGATAATTTTTTTTTCAGGTAAAAATCATGTTTTCCTTTTAATTGACACCGTTTCCTCTCTCAGGTGCTACTTCGGTAATGATTAGGTCCCCACCTCTCAAGAACATTACATCTGAACAGGCTGAGACAGAGCCAGTGTGAACACAGACCCCAAAGCAGGGCTTTTGGGATAACAAGAACAGAAAAAAACAGCCTTTCTCTTCACTTACAAAAGGGAGTCA